AGAAAGAAAGAAAGAAAGAAAGAAAGAAAGAAAGAAAGGATACTGCCAAGGATGCAAATTCAACTGAGGCATCTGACGACATAGACATTAAACAATACAACCTATGTTGTTTCAAACAATGTACAATGTGCAATTTGTTTTGCATGTATATGCTTGTGTGTGCAGTTATGTGAAGCAGAGATWCCTAAAGAGAAAGTGGAGCCGAAGGTCCATGTTTACCGCGACCGTGTCGAGTTTGTTGGCTCTTCGAAGACCAACAACATCTCCATCTTGTTGTGGAATATAACCTTTGAGGATGAGGGAGAGTACATCTGCTTTGCCAGAAACCCAAAAGAGAAGAACCGCAACCACAGTGCCATCTTCACCCTTATAGTGGTCGACCAAAGTATGTAGCAAATTAATCTGACTTGTTCAAACCTGGAGCAATGTAGAGCCTTATTTACATCCCAACAAAACCCTGCTCAGACATTTAGATAAGAAAGCTATCAAGCTACCTTTGTTCATATTGGACTAATACCTGTCTATTATCCATGTTTATACTTTATCTCCCTCTTTTTTAGTGAAGGAGGTTGACAATAGATTGACTATCCTTATAGTCTCAATCGTGGGTGGAGTCATTGGCTTAGTTATCATCATTATGGTGATAAAGGCCTTGGTCGTTCATTTCCTAATGAAGGATAGTGAAAAAACGTGAGTATATTACTGACCAATAATAAGGCATTGTGGATGAATCTTTATATCATTAATCAATCATATTTCAAAGACAGATCAGTTTTATCATCCTGCGTCAGGTTCAGCATTTATTAGTTGAATGTGGTCATCTTCTGAACTGGTATTTATAAAAGAACAATCTTAACATGTTTTTTCTTTTTCTTTTTTAAATAAATCACTTTGGTTAACAAATATTTAATAACGTTTTTATTTTGATGACAAAATTCTGTTGACATTGCCGTAACAAACAGCAGCTACTGTATATTCCTACAACTAAAATTTGCTGTAAAGATAGTAAAACCATTTAGAGGCTGATTTTATTGGTTGTTCGTTTTACCAGCTACACTGTTGTTCGCATTTTGTTAAAACATTCCATTGACTTTTTCTCTGTTCCAAAGAAACTTGTATGTTGTTTATTTAGTGTCAGCCCAACCAAGGTTTTCAAGGTTTTAACCAAGGTTAAATGACATTGTTCATTTCTATATAAATTTATTGTGGAATATATGGTACACTTAAAGAAAAACAATTCTGTCATTTCTGCCCTTTTTTTTTTGTTTTATGTTTTTCAAGTTCACATCTGATAACACTGATGACCTTAATAAACAGAGGTTACCGCAATGTATGACTGATTGGAAAACATTTTTAAATGATTAAGTCAATACTTTGTGTTTGCAAAGTAAAGTCCCGATCAATCGTTTGCTTCTCCCTTATCTCAACCTTTCCTTTCTCTGTCCTCTGCAGTAAAGAGTGCCTGGTGAGCTCCTCAGGGAATGACAACACAGAAAATGGACTTTCAGGAGCCAAAGCTGACAACAAAGGGACACCAAAGGCTTAAGTCAAATGCAAAGTATGTCTGTATGTTTGTATATATGTTAGACAAACGGACACGCTTCCTTGGGAAGGAGCTCACCGGACTGATTTATTTTAGTAGACTCCAAATAATGCAACTTGGAAGTGTCTACTGTAAACCATGCTTGAGATTTGAGAGGTGTAAAATGTGCAAAGGGCCTGGATCACTCTCTTACCAACACGAAAGCCCAATTGTTCCAAAGTATGCAGCCGGTTCTGAAATTCTACTCTGCATCTTTATTTTCAAAAGGTTTTCATTCTCTCTTCGCATTTTCGATTACAAGACAATGAATAATCTAATAATCTCTCCTTTTTTATGAGAATATTATTGGTGTAACTATCTCAGTAACACAGATTAGACATTTCAGGGTAGTTAATTTATTTAAACAAAGTTAACTTTTTAACTAATATTTTGGTTTACAGTACGTTTACATCACAGTCTTAGGTTTATTACAAATTTTGTACAAAACTGACAGCAAATTGAATTGCCACATTCTTTAAACTGCCTAGATGAACAGCACAAACTTATAAAATGCACGCCTAAAACAGATATAAAATTTATCTTTGAATTAAACCTATATGACAGTCATGGTTGATTCATAAATAATAATGACATATTTGAATCAGAAAAAAATGAAAAAGACAAAAATACACTTTTTGTACATTGTTTTAACAATGAGGACTTGCAACTTTGCAACCAATAGAAGGTTTAAACAACTGTTTACTGAGATTTTTTAAACTGTTTTGAGTTTCTGCCTTCATGGTTTCTGCATATACTTTATCTATTTAGGTTATAATGACAAAACTTTAGGCTGATGGCTGGGCTTTCCCTGGGTGACAGAAGGATCCAATTCTGCACAGATTTTCTTATTTTGCTTTAGATAAACACAGGTGCCTGTTCTGCTTCTGCTCCCTCTGCTGATGGGAGGATAAAAACACAGAAAATATTAATATTAATAATAATAATAATCATAATATCCTGAGTCTCATCAAAGACAATCCCAAGACCACCTAGCTCGCTGTAGAAAAAGAATGAACCTAATCATGCTGCTTCAGAATATTAACCAATGCATTTTTAGCATGTGTACATTTTATGTAATGTCATGCTGCACTACAACACAGGAGCATTACTTTATATATTGAAATTATCTCATGTAATCATCCAAAGCGGCTTGAAGTGCTTTAAACTCATATGCACTTTCCAACATTGCAACACAAGATTTTTTTTTTTACCCAGGTTAGGGCAATTAAAAGGGAACCTTTGCCAGTTTGACTAGCAGGTATCACTGAAATAGTATAACTAAAAGAAAATTTAACCATACTCTATATGTACGAATAGATCAGCTTTTCCCATTTTTCAGTCATGTATTTAAACACACCTTGCAGAGAAGTCTGTTTTTTCTTTGTCTTGGTGACAGCAGGTCACATGTCACACACAGGTCACTGTAACATTTTTAATGCAAATAGAAAAAGAAAAACAAGTCTAAATGACCAGATCTGTTTCGTGAGCAAATATTTGACTTCCAGGTGGACTGTAAATAATTTTGATAAAACGTCCTAAAACACTAAATACTACGGTTGAGCCGATCAGTATATCTGAATAATGGTATTGAATTTGTCACTACTGCAAAAAAAAAAAAAAACTTTATCGCTAAAATTGAAAGTAGATGCTGAACAGTGAACTACTCCTGTAATGCAGACGTTGCAACAGTGTGTCACCGATGTACAGCAGACAAGGCTGATGTTAAAATCCACAAACAGAAGGTCAATTACAAGAAATCAGGAGAGGAGTGTGGCAGCTACTGAAATGCAATTCAGTTTAAAAAAAAATGGTTTCATCACTACTTTGAGTCGATATCTGCAATCGACTTGGAACATTCCTGACAAAAACATGCAGTACATGAAAAACAAGTCAAATAATTCAACTTCAGCAGACAGCACAGATGAATGAAAGACTGTAAAGACTGCCAGCTTATGTTTGGCTCACAAGGCAAGATTCAAAAACTTTTCTTTTGTATTTTGGATTTCCCTCTTTGCATTACATCATTTTCTGTTTGGCTACATGTCACATCCAACAAGCTGCATGCTTGTTTGTACTTTGGAACGCCACACACGCTGGGATATCGATCCAAGACAATCCAACATGTTGAATATTTACAGTTTGAAATCAGAGCAGTCCCAACATCCTTCCAAGCTGACTATATCGCTCTGAACGCACCACACAGCAGGAACATCTCTTAAAATTATCTTCAAAAGTCATCATGATTATTGGAACCTCATTAAGATTATCAGAAGAACAAAATCGGTCCAAAAATCGGCACAGTTATCTTGCCGTGTGAACCCGGTGTTAGGCATGTAAAACATCAGTCATTTGTGTTTTCATTTTGTTAAAAACATTTATATTCATAGCCACAGATTTAAGATGAAGGATTTGTGATGTAGTGGTAAAGCTTCCTTGTGAGAATTTAATTTGTAGTTCCCAAAATTCACCCAGTTTGCTTGAACCATAGAAATTCCTTTTGTTATAAAGTGAAACATCTTCAGGGAAAAAAGGAAGTCTATGTTCCCTTTATTCAATAACTTAAAACCTATAATATTTTTAAACCCAGGATTTTTACTTGTTGACTAATAGGCAAATCTATAGAGAAAAACCAGTATTTAACTTAGTCCAGTTCAGAACAGACAAAAACAGTTTAATATAGTTGAAATGTGTAGCATTAAACATTTTTAGGAAGCTTGCTTTAATTTTCTAATTGATATTTATGTGTGAGCAATAAAACTTCTAGCAGTTTTCATGATGTGTTGTTGCATGCGAAAACAAACAAACAAACAAACAAACAAACAAACAAATAAACAAATAAATAAATAAATAAATAAATAAATAAATAAATACTGAATTACATATACACAACAATACATGTTGGAGTATGGCTGAAAGAGTTTAAAATATCCCACCAATATGTGAGTTCAACAGACTTCCCGTTTCATTGTGGCACATGTTAACAAGCAAAAACTATATAGTGCTTGCATAAAACTAGAGCCGCCCTTTCTTTGGGGTTTAATTACAGCACGAGGTCTCTTGTGTGAAACAGATAGAGATGAGCTTCCAAACTCACATTCATAACAAATCCCTAACAAATTCAAAATGTTTTTGTTTAGTCAAGGACTTAAATGCTCAGAGTCACGTTGATTCCACTGGGAGCTATACACGGGCATGTAAAGGTCAAAACAAGTTTGTGTGTAGAAGCTTGAGTCTCATGGCAAATAGCAGAATTTGAAATATGTATTTTTTGTTCTCTCTTTCCACCTGCTGCTCTCATAGGAATGTGCATTGGCCCTCTTGCTTTTAATGGAAGCATAAGGCAGACATCAAATTATGCAATAACCTGTTAAAAGGCACTTTATTGATGTGTCTGTCCAAGGCATGTCTCATTGTATTGATGTATGTATCTATGCCACACTAATGTATCTCAGACATTAGAACCGTCTATTCACATCGAACTGGCTTGAACAAATTGTGTTCCATTTATATTTAGCAGAAGATTCCCTGTGCAGAAGTTCATCTGGAGCTTCAACACTCTAAAGTTGCACAATGACTGACCATCTTGATTGTTGTGGGAGCTTGTAAAAAGCATGAAATCTGATTTATTATATCTTGACTGAATGAAAAGTACAGCTGCTGCACTAATGGCTTCAAAAGAGACTGATTGGAATCTGATTGCAATTTATTTAGCCTCTTCTGTACAGAACAGCTGATGTCCTTTTGCTTTTCATGCCATGAATTGATTGTAGTGTCCTTGGTTTAATTCACCAGCAACCCATGGTGAACATTTTTACCATCCTAGAATAGGTCCACCAACTGAACTATGTGCAACACCATTTTAACTGTGAAACAGAACCCATTTGGAAGAGTGTGATGATAGGTTATGAAAGGACTTTTGGTTGTCTTCAGTGTCTTAAGGAGACAGATGTGTTCACTTGAAAACCATCTGGATCAATGTGTCATAGACCGGCAATCAGCTTTCATTCAGTGAACAGATACAACACAAATGCTTCAAAAACTAGATAAACAAAAAAGACAGAGTTAAAATGAGACACAAGATGGTTGGAAATGTTGCTTGCTATGTAATTTAAAGTGCACACTATATTCAAAGTGGAATTTTGTTGCTAAATGAAACTGGAAATAATTAATTTCCATTGAACTGACATTATATTGTGGTTTCTACTCTAAGTACTGTAATAGCCACTAGCAATGCAATTACTGTGCAATGTATTGTATACAGTACTATGTTGTCTTTGTTATGTTCTCAAAATGTGAATGTTATAGTTGTATGGATGAACCAACCACACAAAACAGACAAACAGACGCACACTTGCACAACTGGTAAATGCTTCATTTGAAGATTCATCAGTGAAGAAGGTAGTTCCACGGTTTTACATCTTCCTGTAGGTAAACACCAGGATGTTCTGTACTTTTCTTACCCCATACATCAACCCAACAGTACCTAAAATGACATTACAGATAATTGAACAGAAATTGTGACTGTTTTTTAAAGGGGACATATCATGCAAATCTACTTTTTTAGCCATTAAATACATTTTGTTGTGTGCTTGGAGTCTTTAGGAATGCAGAAGATTTAGATTTAGTCTGATTAGATATCCTTATATATTATTTTGGTCATCTTTTTCAACCCATTGAGTTTTGTCTGTTCTTCATGATGTTTTTTTGTTTGTTTGTTTGTTTGTTTGTTTGTTTGTTTGTTTGTTTGTTTGTTTGTTTGTTTGTTTTTGACTATTGTGTCACATTGTTTGCGACTGAACTTCTAAATAAGTTCTGGACTTACAAACTACAATTAGTTCATCTTCATTCTCCTCTGGCTCTGGGCCAGACTCTCAAACATCTAAGGCTGGATGGACAAGTCTTCTGTTGTTGACATCTTCTAATTCATTTGTAAATAATACATTTCTGTGCTGCTAGACAGTCGTATATCTGCTATCAAATTAGAATGGACCGCTCTGAGAGCTGGAGGAGGGCGGGGTGAGAAGTGCCTTGTTTGTATTTAAAAAGACAGCCTCAAAACGAGTTGATCTGAGTCACACCTCTGAAAAGAACTGAAAGAGGGGCTTGTGGAGTTACAATAAGGAGGAATTCAGACCAAAGCATTGCAGTTAAACTTTGTTTAAACCCCAAATGAATGATTTACATTTTAAAAATAAGGATTTAAAAGCATGATATGTCTCCTTTAATGTGTCCTTTATTGATTTTTTTCTCTTTTCTTTGTAAACTTCAATCTGATCATTTGCTTTCTGAAATGAGGCCCATAAATTTGATGAGGAAGTTATTTCTATTTTATTTTTATTTTTTGTTAAAATGATAAAATAATGTAAGATATGTAAAACTATCAAACCAGGTTAGTGTACATTATGTCAACAATGCAGAGTGGTGATCTGATTCAGAGATGGTGACATAAAATAAGGCTTCATGATTTACTGCATTAAAACTATTTAGCAGCCCTACATTTCCTTGAGACCAAAATAATTGGAAGTATTATCTATTTCAAACCATGTTTTCTGTTTCCATCTCGCCTCTTCTTGGAAACACTTCTCCTGATGCTCACATGACTCTTGAGGTCAGCTGCTTGAAGTGACTGCTGCAGTCCAGAAAGCAGCAGACTGTAAACTGCAGTGGTGTAAACCAGCACAATAACTCCCAGAAGGTTGCCACCTAGTGGTAAATAAATGTGTAATACATTATAGTTTCTCCTGTAGTGCAAGGCAATGAAATAGACAAGCTATGGGTATTAGTTTGTATAATTAGGATTACAGAAATAACTAAATAATAAAAACAATTATATTGTAAAATAAAAAAGCTTAAATGATTAGCTGTGTGATAAAATCATTCGCATTTTCCACAATGGTTATACGCAATTATGCATTTACTGCTATTGCTTCATGTAGTCTAACTAGTTGAACATTTAATTTGTATATCTGTGCCAAACCACTATTTAAACCTGTAAAAAGAAGAAAAAAACAAACATCAGAACGTTGTTTACAAAAAAACACAAGTTTATTTAAAAAAAGGACAAATTACTGACTTTTAACAACCACAGTGAACATGTAAATTTTAGGCTTTACTGTAGCATCATTCACTATATTAACAAGGTGTTCAGTTATCTGATTGACAACTCTGATTCTTAATAATAATAATTAGCATTGTTCTTACTGCCAGAGCAGCTGAAACTCACACTGCCAGTCCAAGAGTCTCACGTCTGCTGTTCTTACATCACTGTTACCACGACCCGTAACTCACAAATTACTTTACTAAAGGCCGTTGTAATACTCAAAACTGCTGTAATAATGCCAATTAAATACAAAAATGTATGCGATAATAGGCTACTTTACATAACTCTGGTATTTGCAGCAGATGAACGTCACACTGCCAATCCAAAAGATCCACTCTGCCTCCCACATTCCACACCAGAGCTGCGACTAACACTAACCCTCTGTTTAGAGATGGGATCAGTGTTTTTAGACAGTTTTGGACATTTTATAGACTGAACATTTTTATTTATTTAGGAAAACTGGCAGTATCGTTCAAACTACTGAGTTAAAAACATATCTTACAAACTTGATGCAGTGCAAATCAAAACAAATATGGAATTATAGAAATGTGTATTTTATTTGGCTAAAACAGAAATCCTTTGCTACAGTTCTGACAGTTAAATAATGTAATTGTTGGTAGTGATGACCAAACTATGATTCATGTTAAGACTTCACACATTGTGTACACCAAACAAACTGCCTTCAGCAACTCTTGACAGAATATCTAAAATCAAGACGTGCTAGTTCGAGGTTTGAACTGTTGGCTTTAACGTTAGTGTTTAGATTTTTTTTTTACACATTACCAGGCTGTAAAACATTTGTCTGTCCTTATAAAAACTACTAATTAATATCTCAACATGTTAGCAATTTAAAACCATAACCCTTGTGCAAATGATAGAACCCAAGTGTAGTGAGGTAGTTTGCTGAGATCCTTATAGTCATCTCAAAGTACACAAGCAAAGCAAACCTGCAGCCCTGTTTTCCTGGGTCTACCTTTCTGTGAATGTTCAGCTCTTTGTCTATCTATTTAACTATGTTTGCCTCATGCTCCCTTCATGACTATGCACCTCAAACTTTTGACCTTGAAAAATACATACTAGAAATAAAAATAAAAATACTGGAAAACCTTCCCAGACCTATGTGGAGTATTGTTGTGCTTTTTTTTTTTTTTTTTACGTTTGAAGAGTACCACACCATGCCATACCACTTTTATTTATAAAGCACTTTAAACAGCACAAGGCCAACCAAAAAGCTGTGCAACAGACAGACACAACAGGACATAGTCAAAATACAGTCAGAATACAGATAAAAATGTGGAGCATTTACATTTACGGCAACTGAGTTATGAAACACGGTGAGGTTTTGCACCATCTCACTCAGACTCAAAGGCAAGGCAGTAGTAGTGTGTTTTTAAACGAGACTTGAGGACAGCGAGGGAAGGAGACTGTCTGACATGTAGTGGTAGATCATTCCACAGTTTTGGACCTGCTACAGAAAAGGATCTGTCACCTCTCAGTTTAAGACGAGAGTTAGGGAGCTTCAGAAGCAGCTGACCAGATGATCTAAGAGTGCGCTGTTGGACAAGTGGATGCATTAGATCTGAGAAGTAAGAGTGGACGGAGCTGTTTAGGCATTTATAGACAGGATGATGAATTCTGAAATGAACCGGAAGCCAGTGAAGAGATGCTAGAACAGGAGTGATACGTTCTCT